GTTAAAGGGAACCCCGGCTATTAAGACATGTTTGCGCTAAAATATGTATTGTGCTTTCAATAACATATATGTCTTATTAAAATACGCCAAATGTTTTCCTTTTAAGCACATTTTATATAAAACCGATTTACCAGTAGGCCGCCATTGTTATTTACTTCTCAATGCACTCTGGGTAGGGACGTCATACAGTTGTACCGCATCCAGTTCACAGTTTGCAGCGCACTGGAAATGGCTTCTGTTCAACCTTTCCAGTTCACACCAGAGCAAACCGAGTGAGATAATGAAAATAGTCAACCAGCACTTAGTTCTATCGAGTGGAAAAAAGTCCACCGCTCATTAGTGTTCGTCCTCAAGCTTTACTGCTTATGTTATGCTAACGTAGCTTGTTGCACTAGTGATCCCATAGCACATCATTATATACCAGCTAGCCCAACTTCAGTAACCCAACAAACGTCACTGCTGTTTACTGTCCTGTCTTCATTTATGTTGGAAGTGGTAGCAGAGCTGTACGTTTTAATTTGTTTAATAAATCTCTGTCAGAGCATGGTATATTATATTTAGATAGAAGCTAGCGAGCTAACTCCTTGCTAACTTCTATCTCGGTTAAATGTCTCAGCTGACTGCAGGTTTACAACATTGGGAAAACCACAGAACAGAATCAACTTTTGGAGATTTATTTTCATGGATAATTGAGCATGCATCAAGACATTAGACAGTTTTTTAACTCTCAGTAATACTGCAGTGATCATTTGTTCCACGACTGCATTTTACTCACTGCCTCTGTTTGTATCTCTGTCACTGCAGGACCAACATGGAGCGAGAAGTCAGCGCTCTCAGGAGGCCGACAAACCTCACAGAACAAAGGGAGAGAAAAGATACAGCTGTGATGTGTGTGGGAAGGATTTTACTCACAGTAGCAACTTACGACATCATCAAGTTACTCACTCTGGAGTTAAGGCGTACAGCTGTGACTTGTGTGGAAAGTCTTTTACCCAGGCTGGAAGCTTAAAAACACACAGCCTCCTGCACAGTGGAGTTAAACCGTACAGCTGTTATCAGTGTGGTAAAGCTTTTGCTCGCAGTAGCAACTTGCAACGTCATCAAGTTACCCACTCTGGAGTTAAAGCGTACAGCTGTGATGAATGTGGAAAGTCTTTCACCCTGGCTGCAAGCTTAAAAACACACAAAGTCATCCACAGTGGAGTTAAACCGTACAGCTGTGATCAATGTGGTAAAGCTTTTGCTGACAGTAGAAGCTTACAGAGTCATAAAGTTATCCACTCTGGAATTAAGGCATACAGCTGTGATCAGTGTGGTAAAGCTTTTGCTCACAGCAGCAGCTTAAGGGGTCATAAAGTTATCCACTCTGGAATTAAGGCGTACAGCTGTGATCAGTGTGGTAAAGCTTTTGCGCGAAGTAGTGACTTACGAATTCATCTAGTTACGCACTCTGAAATTAATGCGTACAGCTGCGACATTTGTGGAAAAACCTTTCGCCGGCTACTCAGCCGAAATATTCACCAACGCATTCACACCAAAAATGATTTTTGCTTTTGTGATCAGTGTGGCAAACGGTTTGTGGCATACAAATATTTACAGCAGCACATGTTTACCCACACTGAGGAGAGACCTTATAAATGTGACCAGTGTGAGAAGACTTTTAAAACTCAACGTTACCTGAGACAACATCAACAGATTCACACCAGAAAGAAACTCTACAAGTGCACTTACTGTGAGGTATGTATTTTTCTTTTTGCACTTGCACTTTTGTTGAAGTATTTTGTAAATTAAGTTTCATTTCAAACTTAAACGAGACATGAAAAGTTAATCTAAGAATATTTGGTCAAATCTGAAATAGATCTCCCAAAACTTTCCTGATGTTAGAAAAAAGTAAAGTTTTAAAAGTTTCTCCCCTTGCTATCCATCTAACATTCACACTCCGATGGATGCATTGGAGAGCAGCTTGAGAGTTAGTATCTTTTAACCAGCACTGGGAAGGTTACTTTCAAAATGTATTCCGCTACAGATTACAAAATACATGCACGAATAACGTAACATAACTTAAATGAGCTGTGGGCCACTGCTGGCACTGTCATCTCATTGAAGGGCCACTTTAGTGGTCAAGTAGTACAAAAAATGCAAGAAAACACCCCCAAATATTATCAAAAATGTAGTGGTTTTTTTTTCTGGTTTAGTTTTTTTATTCAAATATTGTATACCAAGACAAAAATGCAAGCGTGAACCCAATTATGTATTTATTATATATATATGTATATGTATATGTACATATGTATATGTATATATGTGTATATGTATGTATATGTATATATGTGTATGTGTATATATTAGGGGTGCAATGATACACAAAATTCACGGTTCGGTTCGATACTTTGGTGTCACGGTTCGATATTTTTTTTGATACAAAAAAAATGTTCATGCCTTTTTAATTTGTCATTTATTAAAATTATAAATATATATTT